TGCTCATCTGCTATATCTGATGTTAAACATAGCTGCACTTATTTCTGAAATACTTGTGATGCATCTTGAGAAATTTTATTAAAGCCTACCATTCTAAGACCAAGTTATCGCCGATGTCGTTACTTTATCAATAGCATTTCAATTATTGGTGGTGCTGATGGATCAAGTCCTTCCAAGATGAGGGCGTAAGTTCGAACTTTAATATTTTCTTTTAGCTCCTTCATTTTAGGACCTACCTGATTGGAACAATGAGATTGTCTGTGTTAATGAGTTTATTTCAGTGGCATAGTTCTTGAAGAAGGTATGCATTCATCTGTGAAAGACATGTAGAGAAGAATTTTGTATTTGATACAGCACATAGGATTTTAGGACATGGCATGCTTTTGCTTATGCTTTCAAATTTTCTTTGTGTTTATTTTTTAAAGCAATCTGTATTCTGTGTGTTGATTGTAGTTGTGGCGCTTTAAGAAACATAGCCCATTTTCAGGGACTACGTTACATGCATTCTCTGTATAAATATTTGGTTCTAGTCAGAGGATGGATGATTCTGGTTTAAGCTAAGGGTATTCTAATAATTTGTTTTCTCCTGTGTGGCGTCTTGCAAACGTTGATCCTATTGATGTTGCCAGAAGTATTGCAAGGTTAAACCCAGAAACTACCCTCAGTAAGTATTAAGTTCATTTATATCACTACATATTGACTTTTGTAATCTAAGCTCTATGTGGGGTTTCTTATTGTTCATTCATATTCTTTTGATATTTGCAGTTGTGGTAGTTTCGAAGACCTTTACAACAGCTGAAACTATGTTGAATGCTCGAACCCTTAGGGAATGGATCTCATCTTCTCTTGGGTTAGTGCAGTGCCAACACTTCTTCAAGTATATGAACATGTTGTTTCAGTTTAGGATTTGCTTAATAATCTTTGGGTTAATTTAAACAAACGTGAATGAGCTTGGGAGTGGGTGGAATGAATCATATTTGGAATAGCATAGTAATTTTATAATTGAATAATTCAGTAATCAAGATGGTATGATGGAGTGAAGGTTTATTATGTCTTTGTAGTTAAACATTGATTTTGTCAGATAAAATATAAGTTTAAAAAATTCTATTGAGAGAGTATAGCCGACCGGCTATACATTTAAAATTTTCCATTTATATATTATAGCCGATCGGCTATACTATTGAAATATTCTTCAATACCCCTATACGGTTGAAATATTCTATTTGCAGCGTATAGCCGGGCGGCCATACGTTCGAAATTTCTATTTACAAGATATAGCCGGGCGGCTATACTTGTGAAAATTATATTTAGGGAGTACAGTCCGGTGGGTATACTGTTGAAAATTTCTATTTATAAACTATCGCCGCGCACACTGTTGAAATATTCTATACTTTAAAGATATTTCCACATTGCACCAACAACAAAAAATATAAATTTTTATTTTTCCGGATTAGACCTCTCCCAACAAAATTTCTTCATAAGAGGTTTCTTTTTAATAGAAATAATATACTTTGTATCTTTAGGTCAATATATATATATATATATTCAACTTTCTTTTTATTAATTAAATCATATCTTAGCCTTATTTAATTACTTTCATTAATAATCATGTTCTAATTATTATTTCTTTAGTGAATAATTTGAACTGGTTATTTTAATTTACTTTACAAATTATATTACTTAATAAACAATAATTTTTTTTAAAAATTTTCGTCTTTGATAAAATATTTAAATACTAATTATTCACTAGGTAAATATTAATTAAAACATAACTACTAATTAAAGTAAATAAAAAGGAGAAAAAGCACATTATGATACTTATCGGTATAGGCGCGCGGCTATACGTTTGAAATTTTTTATTTATAGGGTATATCCGCACTATATGGATGAAAATTTCTATTTGTATAGTACAGCCGTGCAGCTTTACGATTGAAATATTCTATTCGTAATATATAGCAGCGCTGCTATACTTTTGAATTATTCTATGCTTTAAAGATATTTCCACATTGCACCAACCATACAAATATGAATTTATATTGGCCGGATTAGACCTCTCCCGACGAAATTTCGTCGGAAGAGGTTTCTTGTAAAACAGGAGCTTAGCTCTTATAAAACCTACGAGGGGGTGAAGTAGGCTATATGATAAAAGCTCACCAATTTAAAAATTACTTAGTGACAAATGACATTCAACACAAATACTGCTTGTGGTGATCAAGTAACCAAGGCAAATGCAATAATGTAAATGACACAGTATTTGCTAACCCAGAAACCCATAAGGGAAAAACTGGGGGACCAAGCCAGGAAAAGATTCAATCCACTCGATTGTAAAGTACAAGAAATATAGGGATATTAGCTCAACTACACACAATAGGCAGCTAACTATCTAACCTTCTAGCAAAGCACCATTTCTTTACTTCACAGCAACAGATTCTTTTCTCGACCTCGCAACAGCACCAAGCATAAGTTGCTCCCGATATGATGTTATGAAGTGAGTTGTTGTTGCGTCTACCCAAGTGCAAGTAGTCACACGTGGTAATAATCTTGGAAGTCCAAGCATCGTATCCTCAAGAAGCAGGTAGGTAAATATCTGCACACAAAGAAATAATTAAACGTACCACAATAAAAGTGACAAGCAAAATGGAAAAGTAATTTGATTTGATTGTTGTGGAAAATTGAGTTTAAAAATAAAATATCAATAATGGAAATGCTAAGGCATCAAGGTTCAATTCTTTAAACAAAATATGTTTCATGCTCTTTAATCCAAATTATAACTCGATTAAAATCATCATTGAGAAACTTTAACCGGAAGATAAAGAAATTAAAACCAATTTAATTTTTCAATGTAATCTTTTATTAATGATTGTTCAGAAAATGGAGTAGCTTAATATCTACTCTTTTAATTTAAAAGCATGCCAAGTTAGTTCTTAATAATGAGAAAAATATAAATGAACTCATGAAAAGATAATAGCACTTAACATCAATCAAAATAAAAGGATATGAAATGATTGAACAACCAAAAATAAAAGAATTTAGCAATTCATACTGTATATTGTCTTTTTTGGAAGGAAGTTCAACATGTGTCTCTTGTTAAATATGCAGATTTTTTATTTTTTTTATTTTATTGAGGTTGGGATTAAGGATGTTGAGAAGGGGCGTGTTTGGAGATTTTTTGGTGTATATGCTAGTACAGATGACCGAATCAGGAGGAACCAATGGCAGGCTTTACGAACTCGAATTCTTACATGTCAGGAGGCTGTTATGGTAATGGAGGATTTTAATGATTTTTTAGATAGAGCCGAGAAGCAAGGAGGAAACTCTCAGTCTGAAAGGAGTATGTTGGATTTCCGTTCATTTGTGACGGATTTGTCTGATTTAGGTTTTGTTGGATATCCATTT